AAAGAAAGGTGTAATAAAAGTGAAATTATACAATAGATATATCAAAGAAAGGTGTAATAAAAGTGAAATTATACAATAGATATATCAAAGAAAGGCGTAATAAAAGTGAAAATATACAATAGATATATTTCTATATTTTTATATATTTTTTATTTTCTTTAAAAAGAGAGGCGTAATAAAATTAAGTGAAATTATACAATAGATACATTAAAGGAAGGTGTAATAAAAATCTGGGCCCGGTTATACGAAGGGTGGATAGCGCTATTCGACGGATAAATTTTAATTCAGTGGGTAAATTTTTGGTTAACAGCATCGACTTATTCAGTGGATAAGGRTTTATCYGACGGAGAGCGCTATCCACCCTTCGCACAACCAGGCCCTGCCGGATAACTTCTCCCGTTATCCTTATCTATTGACTCGCTTACAATTTCTGGCATGCATCGTGTTTCATATTTCTAACACATAGATTACCTTTAGATCTGGCGTGGTCATATTATCGTAATCCGGCATTGGAGTAATGGGTGAATCAGCAGAAGTATCTTGAGCTCTACTGTTCCTTGGTGTTACCGCTACTAACCTCTGGATATGTGCAGGCGTACGAGGCTTACCTTGTCCTACTTGATAATCAGGTTTTTCATGTATGACCAGTTTATCTTGTTTTTCGTTTAGTTCTATCTGTTCAGCAGCATGGGCCATAAAGCTATCATCACCGTCTAAACAGGTTCCAAAGTCATCTACATCGCAGTTGAACCCCCCATCATCGTAAAAGTCATTCTGATCTGGGATAGGAGGAGTAGAGGTTAATTGTTGGCATTTTGTCTGACTATTCCCCGGGTGTCGTCTTGGAGTATCATCTAAACCACTAACATCACTCTCAACATCGCTTGACACTTCTGTGTCATTGCTTTCAAGTCCGTATTTAGCAGCTCCTAGTTGTTTAAACAAACTGGTTTTTGTATTAATGGCCCCAGTTACACCTGTAAATGATGTCTTGCAACCCGTCCTATTCGTATCCTTATCGGCTTCCACGACTTTATTTGTTTTATTTTCTCCGACTTCAGTCTCACCACCGTTATATGCTGTTGGCACAGGCAGTAATGCAACAACATCGCTGTTTTCACTATCCTGGTCACTATCAATGGCTTCTTGATGAAAGTGCGAGTCCCTAGATACCCGTCTCTCCCTCGTGCTTTCCTCTGCTTGCAAATCCTTARGACCTCTCTCCCCATGCAGATCCGTAGAAAGTCGCCGAACAGGGGTTGTGGCTACAGAAGAATGATTGACATCTATGTATGAAGTCGATTCTACAACACCAACATCTAAATGAACAGGAGAGACAGCTGGCGACGGCACCTCATGGTCAAAATCTGAGTAACATGGTGAAGGAACTCGTGGTGAAAGCATCCTCGGTGGTGAGAGAGATGAACAAGATTCTGTCTCGTCGTTGTCGGATCCTCTGTTATCTCTTCCTGAAGTATTTCCTTCGAAATCATCATCTTCATCTTCTATGACGTGGCTTGAAGCACTTTCATGTATTAAATCCTCAAATTCATTGTCAATTGATAAATCAACTACACGAGTGTCATTTTTTGATTTAGCCACTTTTGGCGAACGGGAGCTCATGGAATGCTTTGAAGTACTGGAACATTCTAACTCCTTACGCGTGTCTGTTGTATCTTTATTTGTTGAACGATTTTTAGATAGCTTCTCCTTTTCTTGTCGTTGCTCTTTTCCTTTGCGTTTCTTTTTGTCTTTTCCAGCATTTTTAGCTTTAGCATCTATTGTAGATTTTAGTTTCCCTAGGAATGCCTCTTCATCTTTACTCACATGGTCCTTTTCATTGTCATTCTCACCTTCGTTTACATTATCATTTTCATTCATATCGTCTTGTTCATCCTCATTGGACAAGTCACAAGAGGTATAATTGGGTCGTGGTGAATGGGAGAAGGAAGGATCTGATTGGTGTTTGGATGCTTGCAAGGAACGCTTGTGATTCTGATTGTCTTCTGGTGATCGCTGTCTTTTCTTTTGGTGAGGCGTCTCTGGGATAACCAAGGCGTGGTCCTAATAACAAAGAGTAAAAGGAGTGAGAAACAAGACGTTGTCTTGATAACAAAGAGTAAAAAGAATGAGAAACATTGACAACTACAAATAGGATTTCATTAGACATGAATTATAGATAATATACACTTACAAGTACTTTTTCTGAGGATTCGCAATCATTGTCATCACTTAACAAGCTGATAGACTGGTTGAGTATTGCAATATCACCATCACCATATTCTTCTTCTTCGCTCTCTTCTTCAATACTCCTGTACTTGTCATGCTCATCGCATTCCTCGTCAATGCTTTTGCATTTATCACCTTCTGGTCGCTTGACAGTTTGATCCGTTACCCGTGCGGTTTCTCTTCCTTTATCATCATCATCATCATCATCATCCTCGTCAATACTTTCGTGTTCATCATCTTCTGGTCGACTGAAAGTTTGATCCCTTAACCGTGTCGTTTCTCTTCCTCCATCTTCATGCTCATCGTCATCATCTTCAGTCAAATCAACTTTAAATTTCACACTGGTTTGATTCGTGTCATTTTCATGTCTTGATCCATTGTTTTGATCATCATCATCGTCACCTCCGCCATGCTTATCATTGTCATCATCTTCAGTCAAATCAACTTTACTGCCCCCACCACGATGATCCAAGTTACTTACATGGCTTGGGCTTAGTCCATGACATTGATCATCATCATCATCGTCACCTCCACCATGGTTATCATTGTCATCATCTTCAGTCAAATCAACTTTACTGCCCCCACCATGGCTTGGGCTTAGTCCATGACATTGATCATCATTGTCGTCGTCACCTCCACCATGCTTATCATTGTCATCATACACATCATAGCTTATGATGTCAGTTATTTGAATGTCACTCGCGGGGCTTTTCTGTTTCTGATTTAGCTTGTCGCATTCTTCTGACTGTAGTTTAGATTGATCACTGCAACTTAAGTCACGCTCTTGACCATCACAACTGACACGATTTCCAAAGTCACGCTCTCGATCATGAGTGTCACACTTTCCAAAGTCATGGTTTTGATCATTATAAGTGTCACCCTTTCCAAAGTCACGCTCTCGTTTATCATAAGTGTCACGCTTTCCAAAGTCATGCTCTTGAACATCATAGCTGCCATCACGTCTATTATCATCACAAACACCTTTGCTGTATACATAAACAACTTCGTCTTTCTCATGTTTGCGCTTTTTTGCTACCCAATTTTCACTTTCTTTTTCTTCTAAACAACTTCTCAATTCTGCTGTCTTCAAATTAATCACTTCCCCATCCAATGCTTTTGTYGCTTTGGGTACTTTTATCTCTTCTTTACATTCTTCAACAAAGTTCGTTTGATTTTGTTCTGAATCTCGTCCTTCACTGATTCGATCATTAACTTCCATTACCAGCGACTTGCCATCTGAATTAACACCCTCAGTTAAAGTAAGATTCAAAGTTTCCACGACTTCAGTTTCCAATTCTTCGTTTTTGTCATCCAAATTATGAATTCCTTCTTGAAGAGTGTCTTCACTACAAGTTCTCTTACGAACAGCTTGTGTTTGGAATATTCTCACCTCTTCAATATCCTCATCATCAAACCCTTTACTCCATTCTTCTTGACTCTCGTCCTGATTGTTTTGTTTGGCTTCCATATCTGCTGTCTTGTCTTGCCATATGGCATCCAAAAGTTCTTCTGCCGATAAAGAACATCTGACAGCGTCTTCCTCTTCATCTTCACTTCCATATTTTTCTTTCTGGTCTTGGTGGATGGTTCTGGAATCCTGGCAAGCCTTTACCAGCTCAAAAAGCTCCAATCTAAAATTCAGAAACAACATTGTTTATCTATAATGTCATGTCAACCCCTTGGACCAATTGCCATTATTTTTAAATTTAATTTGAAAGATAGATTGAATTACACTTTTATTCTCCTGAGAATCCAGGACTGATCAATCTTTTTAAGGAAGATAAATGACACGTAATCAGAAACAATCAATAAATGAATAGATGGATGGATGGATGGATGGATGGATGAATGAATGGATGGGTGGTTGGATGGATAGATGGAGGATAGATGGATGATGAATGGATGGATGGATGAATAAATAAATGAATGAATGAATGAAAGAAAGAAAGAAAGAAAGAAAGAAAGAAAGAAAGAAAGAAAGAAAGAATGAATGAATGAATAAATGAGTGGATGGATGGTTGGATGGATGGATGAATGGATGGAAGAAACTAATGATCCATCGCCTTTAATGAACTTGATAACACTTGATGAATTTGAGTAAAGTAAAGTCTTACCTATCAGCTACACCAATGACATCGTCTATACAGGACTGAGGTACATTAACTGATGCTGTGTAGATATACAGTAATATGCAACGCATTTCGTCTGCTTCTACATCACTGAATGATAAATGTACAGGTTTATCTGTTGATTGCTGTCCATCAGCAACGAGCCGGGCTTCAYTTATCATCTGGAATACAGAGACAACGATATGGGATAATGGTTTTATGTAGAGGCGATTCAGTTTGATTCAACTGCTAGTATAAACGCGCTGTGTTTTGTGGTTACAATACGTATCATTATACTTTCCCCTCCTCTCTCAAGTTAACAGCCTAATCAGTTTAATCAAGGAATAAATASATGGGTGGTTGTCGAAAGGATTGACGGCCCGCGAACCAACAGACTGAAGAATTTAGGGATTAAATAAATGAATGAAAAACCAGATAATCATTTAAAATCAAGGAATAAATAGAAGGGTGGTTGCCAAAATGATTGATGGACCGACAGACGAGTGATTGAACACATAGACAGATATAAAGTGAATGAATAAAATAAACATAATCATTTAAATCTAGATACTCACATTTGCCAATACCTCTGATCTTGCAGCTAACATGAATGAATGACCTGGAATACTTTGGTTGCCCTTGGTTATGATCATAACGTCACTGAGCATCTCATTGCCCACCATCTTAGACATGTCTTGAAGAAACACTGATAAAGACGAGGGAACACTGTGGTCTGCCTGTAATTAAGAAGTCAAGAGTAACAACTTATTAGACCCTCTTTGTTTGATCGCAATGTTTTCCCATTTCAGACCATGTGTCATTCTTTTGAAGATAAAATTCTTTGTTCGCGTTGTAACTATATTTATGTGTTTTCTCGTGCCCAACAGTTCATTAAACAAATAAATCATACTTAAGGGAATGACAGGTGGACTGAAATGGGAAAACATTACTCCCAAGATAAGAGTCAATAAACTGAAAGCAAGAAAATATAGCAACAAAGTACACAAGATTTTAAGAAAATAAGAATAATTTCGAGAAATAAAGACATTCAATAAACAACTGACTGTCACTCACTCATGTCAGACATGATATCCTCAGTGTCATGGCACACAACATGCATCATGCCATTTTATCTTAGTATTTCTTAGTGGCATGGAATGGCAGTGGCATCTAAATGCATTAAATATTTACCTTATCTGTCTGATTATTTGGGCCAACTGGTAGACAAAACCCACTTGAAGGGAAGACCTCATCATCATCTTGATCATGATCAACAGAGCTCTTTCTTGGTGGCTCTTGAGATTCATCACAATCATCATCATCACCATCACTGTTAACTAACTCCAGTAAGATATCCAAATTAGCAGCTTGTGATGCTGACGTTAGTTCAGATTCTGACATCGTTTTATTATTTTTGCCCAAGGTCCCTTCATCCTTATCTTCACACATGTCCTCACTTATCTTTGCGGCATTTCTAACCAGCCCTTCATGTGTCTCTTCACGTACAGACTCTTTCTGTTGGCTGGTATTGGAGGATTTTCTGGGTGTTTTCTTGGGTCGTTTTGGTGATGGCACTGGTAACAGCCCTGGCACATAGAAATCATTGATAGAGGATTCTTTATTTTCTAAAGATGCCATGGACCACAGAGAAGCAGAGCCACCAACCTAATAAATAGCACAACATTTTATGTTTAGATTATCTGGAAATCTAGTAGCACAAACTTGTGACATATGATTTTATATAGCCCTCTTTTCCATATGAATATGATGACTTATAAATGAGAGGTGGTTAGTATAAGGTGTAGGCACTGAGGGTGGTCACTGCCAGTCCTCAGTGGTTCTTTTACATCCCTCCAATATTGGTTAATAATGATGAAGTGTGGAGAGATGGGACAACCATTAAAAGTGGTCATCCAAGCCACTTGAAAGTCTACCATCTGTAGATGTAATAACAAAGGTAGTACTTTCTCCTAAGTTATTTTAAGACCCTGAGCGTTGGTCCAGCCACAAAGGCTTGAACCCACKGTATGATGCTCAATCAACTGAGCCAACCGGGTGGCAAGCCATTACACTATAATTAAGAGGTTTACCATTACATTTGTGGCTGGCAGCTCTGTCTTTATTTCTGTTGTTGAAGCTTCTTCATCAGAAACATCAAGGAAACTTAGAAAAGATCTGCACATATCTGGACTGGCTAACATGTCAGAGAGCAATATGACAGTTGTGTCTCCAAATCTGGTGGAGTCTAGTTTGTTTGATGTGTCAGAGTCCCCTTCTACTGCTAGCTCTTCTTTATCTTGATTAGGATTCTCTGTAAGAGCACCTTTAGTTTCTTCTGTCGCCTTGTCATTTGGGGTTTTGTTGACAATCTGCTAATAGGAGTAGAAACATGATTTGGGTTTGGACAGCAGCAAACTTAAATAAATTTTTCAAAGTTTCAAGATTTCAAGTTTCTGCAACCTAACTGACTCCAGACATTTGGAGCCGTTTGGCATTTTGGCTACCACCAATCAAATTTACCATGGGCTGAGTGCATTCTGGGTGATTTTTCAAGGTTTCAAGATTTCAAGTTTCTGCGACCTAACAGTCTACAAACATTTGTTTGGCATTTTGGCTACCGCCAATTAAATTTACCATGGGCTGATTGCATTCTGGATGATGAGCAATAAATATCCCTGGGCCACAACAACCATTTTCTCATGAGAAAATATTTATGGCTCATCATCGGAATGCTCGACTGGTCAACATTGAGATATTCAGTGTTGTTTGTAATTGATGAAATCATTTAAACACCTTGATTATTTATGTTTATGATCACAATTTGGGCTGTGCAATCGCCAGTCACCGATCACCATTCACTATTTGCCCTTTGAATTGTTTTTGGAAATTATAGCTGTATACATGTATAATGAAAGCAGATACAATCATGTACATGTACTCTCTAAAAAGGGCTAAAATCCACCTTCTTTGAACTGTAATCCTCTAACTGATCATTAAATAGGGTTGTCTTTTATATTTTTTCTTCATAATATACAATAATAATATACAGCACATATAATAATTATTAATTATTATGATATACATGTATAATGATTATAGTGTACATATATACATATACCTTGGCATTGGCTTGTTCTACTTTGAGGAACTGTTCAGCCAAGGAACTGGGTGCAAGTGCTGGAGTGCAAGATATGCTCTCTTCATCAGAATCATAATCCTTCACAAAATATTAGAAAAATGAAGTTAATGCTCATTGCCAGGTTTCATATTGAGTAAAAGAACTAGGGAGACTCGACAACTGTTGACTAGGGTGGATAAAATATTACAGTATACATACAGTAGCTATATAAAACCATTGAGCTCAACGAATGCAGCCCAGTTTTGACCATATAATTAAAAATCACTGTGAAATGGAGATATTCATGTTGTTGTTTTCACAATTGTTTGGTTTCAACCCAAAAATTGAAAATACTGCTTGCAATCAGTTTATAAATTCAAATTCAAACTTTGGGCTTTTTCCTAGATTGCAGAGGACTCTGCTTTTGTCATTGTCACACACTTTGGTGATACAGAAACAAAGGTTATTTTTTTAATTTTTAAGAAAAAAGTAACCTTGGTGCAAACTACTTGAGCTGCTCTTGCTGCAATGACATTCTGTGTTTCTTCTTTACTCCTCAACAACAGAGCTGGAATCACTTCATTACTAAAATGAAAAATAAAGATAAATGAAAAAGAAAAGTATGATGTGACAAAGGATGCACAAGAATTCCCTTTTTTTCCTATCTTATTTCTTTCTGTTCGGGTATCCTGAGAATCATGCATTCTGATTGGCTGCATGAGTGGGCAAAATTTTTTATATATCTCTGACTGTGGCCTGTATCTTGGGATGACAGATTTCTAAACAACAAAATTGCAACCAGATAAAAAGTAAATAAGTTATTTACYATCCTAAAGTGGGTCAAGATAAGGAAAGACATATTTGCCTTGAAAACTAGCCTCTATTGTATATTCAAGACCTCATGCATACAGTCTTTCCTTATCCAGACCTTCACATGGCTGGTAAATAACCTCTATCTCCTTCTTACTCCTTTTTTCTTTTTCTTTTTGGTTTTCTCTCATCATTTCCTGGAGGAGGTGGTGGTGGTGCCATGGATGCAGACAAGGCCATGGCAAACTGTGTTTCTTCATCAACATCCCTATAAAAAAATAACCATAAATTTAAAGATTGCCCTGTACATGTAAATTGTTTAAACAGAGCATACCTTAAATCTTGACCATCTTTACGTTTCTTTCTTGTCTGGCCGGTTTTCTTTTTTTGATCTTCACTTGGCCTAGCTTCTGTTYTTCCCTCTTGCTGGTGCTGATCCTGTTGCTTTACAATCTCAAGCAGTTGATTTACTGGAACATTATATTTTTGTGCACACTTCTTCAGGTGGGGCTGCCAAGACTTTAAACAAAAAAAACACAGTGATTTTTATGTTTATTTTAAACAAGTATGGGGCATTTGAAGAACTTGTGGTGGAAATTAATGTGAAAATGAGGATAGTTACCTTAGACTTAAAAAAACAATGCAATAGGTGTGGGAACAAAAATAAATTCTAGAGCATTAAGGTGATATGTTCTTTATGCTGCTTGGATAGTTATTAAAGATGTGATTTATGTTTCTTTAAAAGCATATATATTTCTCAGAAAAATATCACTAGTAAACTGAAGTCCCAGGTTCAAATTCTGCCTTGATTTTTTCTGACAAAATATGCTAGAAGAAACATAAATGACATCTTTAAATTCTAGAGTAGTTGGATAAAGTACATAATAAAATACAAGTTACTGGTATTTTCAATCAATTGATACCCCCAAGAAAGCAAAAAAGGTATATCACTGGGTAACCATGTGAGCACACATATATATTTCCTTCTAAATTCCCAAAGAATTAATAAGTTGGACAATTAATATCTCACCTTTCTAGATTTGAATTCCTGAGTACAGAATGGACAGGTTAATGTATTTTTTTTGACATCATCTTTTCTCTCTTCTTGCACTTTTTCCCCTTCTGTTTCTTTTTCCATTTGATCACAGCACTTATTTATATGTTGCTGTCTGCGCTGTGAGTTCATCTTGGATAAGTCTTTCTGGCATATCTGGCAAAAGAAAAGCCCATTCTCCCCACCAATTTCATCTTCACATCCCTCGACTTCCTTTCTCTGGTATTCAAAAGCTACCAACTGGTCTTGTAGAATGCTCAGAGAGCTTTTGGGGTTATTTTCTGGAATTTTAGTTTCTGTTGTAGAAGTATCTTTGCTATCAAGGCAGCTATTGACATGCTCATTGAGTTCTTGTTCCATAAACTCATAAAATACTTTACTACATACTGGACACTTAATTAGAGATTTCGAATAATCTCCTACTGTATTTTCTTTTCTGATTTGTTCAGATTCTATTTCAAGTCTTTCAGATTCATTTTCAAGTCTTGTTACCCTTTTATTATGATGCTCAGTGCTGTGAATGTCATCTTTTTTATCATAATCATCTTCACGGTCATCATCTCTCTCATCATCACCATCAACATCATCTAGAGATGATGAATACTTCTTCTGATCAACAGTGCCTGACTCACTAGCACTGTTATCGACATTACTTTCTTCACTATGTTGATCATCTTTTCCAGCATTTCTTTTATTCTTTTTTAAATTCAATAAGGCTTTTTTGCTCTTCCCTTGAGTCGTGGTTGAGGTCAATTTAACAAGTTGAATATCAGTTACAAGCAAGCGTGTAGACTTTTTAACGGGCTGATCAAAGTCTTCTTCATCACTAGATGTGCTGGATTTAGTTTTCCTTCCTTTCCTTTTCTTTCCATTTTTCTTTTGTTTTTCATCTGATTTCTTAATAAGATTTAAAGCCTGTTGTGACCTCTTATACCTGCTAGTGACTAAACTTGTCAACTCCTCATCCTTGCTAGACCCTCTTTTTCTTTTAACTCCTAAATGTGTTTCTATATCTTTAGCAGTATCTTCATCAGTATTGTAATCAAAGGCTGATGTTTGGCTTTGGTCATCATTACTAGACCAAGCTGCCGCACTATGTGTCCTTTTTACATAACGTGTTTTGCAATAACACTTTGACTTTGGGCTTACAGCAGGTCTAGTAACCTCTACTGCATCATTCCCAAATCTAGCATTCCATTCACTGTCATCTTGGCCAGTACCTTGATCTTGTACCTTTCTTCTTGATAAAGGTGCTTTGGATTTGGTAAGTTTTCGCTTCATCTACTTGGAGTTTTATGCATAGCTAGTGTTCCACAGTTTATGTACAGCAATTATCAGCACCGCATTTATAAGCCAAACTTGAATGACGGTATAAAAACTTTACTCCCTTAAAAAAATTACTCATTTACGACACAGACTAGACCTACAGGATATGAGAATCAAGAACTTGGTACAAGATAAGACTTTCTAATATTTTATAGCTTTAAATAACCATTCACGATGGTCTTTTCTGTATTATAACGACAATAAACACCCAAGCGTTCCAAGCAGTTCCCAACAACAAACAAAAGCTAACACGAGCTACTTCTCAGACTTTCTTTCTTCAATGCTATTTTTCATCTTGAGTTGAAAATCTTTAGTTTGCTGTTGGCTCTTGTCCAAGCGATGTAGCTGTTCTTCGGGCTTCGTTACAAATCGGTGTCTGTTGTAAAAAGCAAGAGTTATAAGAGCTAAAGCACCACCAAATACAACAGGGAATGTAGCAGCACSGATACCCATTTGTCTGCTGTTTGTAAAACGTGTTTTGAACTTTTACTTTGGCGCGAATGGCGCTCAAATTGACTCTAATTGGGGTATCCCGCTGAACATCACAACAGGGATCCCATTCACTAAAAAAAACCACTAAATATGTTTTTATGTAAAGAAAAAAATAATAAGAGATAAAAAAAAAAGGACATAGTCTTCGCATGTGGCCTAATTTCATTGTATCTTAAGTTTTATTTTCTTTACTAGAAAATTTGTTATAAGTACTAGTACGAAATCATGTATTTACACACAGGGATCCCAAACTACAAAAAATCCCTAACATATTAGACTGTTAATCTTATCTGTTAAGGTTAGTAAGTTATAGTAATAAAAGTAGAGATCAAAGAGACCAAAGCGTTTAATTTACCGGTAACGTATGTTATGAATTCGAGGTTTTCCTTTTTTTWAAAAATAAATGTTCTCACACATACAGGGATCCCACGCTACCAAACACTTCTACTATTTTCATTCCTTGCTTTAACTTTGGTTTTTAATAAGTGATTAAAAAGGCGCAGGAAAGGTTTAAAGCTTTTGTTATGTCATGATACGTATTTAGCCTATGTAAATGAATATTAAAAGTTTTTTAGTGTAAATCATGCATCATGTGTTCAAACAAAGGGATCCCCTATTACCAAAAACTACAGAAATCGCTTCCATTTTCTAAATTAAAGTGAGTATTTTTTGAAAGTGTTGTGAAAAGAAAAGTAGAGATCGACAGAACCCTGTATTATTTTTTAATCGCAAACCATACTTCCTGGTGGTCGTGACGTATTTATATGTAAACTATAAAGTGAAACTAGCCAATCAAAAGGCTCCAAAGTCACGAGCAACAGTAACTCAGCTCATGTGAGAAGAACTGTTGTTTTAACAGTAATTTTTTGTCAGCCTTGAACGCTAAATCATAGTTAGAAAACTTTCTTTTGAGGTTGGTATAATACTTTGTTTTGCTTATATTTGGTCCATTTAAGATTTAGCTAAGGGAAAACTTGGAAATCGTCCGTCATATCTTCATGTTTGAGCTTCGTATGTACATGCCGGGCATGTGTTGTCTAGCTATAGGGGCCTCTCGCTACTCTCTGTTGAACATCTGAGAGACGGTTTTTCGTGTCCCTCATGTGATTTTCGGAAATTATTTGATGTAATGAGTATTCCACATCAGAAAGACACTTTATCTGTCTGGGATTTGCTCTTGGTCGAAAATACAACTGACTATATCGTATGTCCATTTGACAAATTATAAGGCTTACTCAACAGAGATATAAATTCCTCATAGCATGTGGCCTTTTGACGATATTCTACACTGTATATAGAAACGTTTTACCTATACTAGGAATGTAGAGTAGATTTTTCCATAATGTACTGTAGGAACATAATGTGAGATGTTCAGTTTCTTGAAATTGTTTCTTGAGGTGGGGGGGGAATTCTTGTGACCCAATTCCATCTGGACTCCAAGTCATGTATGTCTCCACAAATAACCTAATAAAAGTACATGTACAAGTTCCTAATATGACTACAAGGACAAACTCCTTCTATTACTTTTGCTATAATTGAGGTATCAAAAATGAATAAAAGACTATGACTCTAATCAAGATTTTTTTTGATAACCATAAATATATAGTTTTTTAAAGAAATATAAACCGATATGGGAGTTTAGTATTTTTACACAAGTGAATAAAATAAATCTGGAGTGCTCATTGGTCACAATTTACGTCTTATGCTTTCATATTCACCTAGAGGTGAATATAACACACAAGCGCATACTCATTTGTGAAATTGTGCTGCTTGCAGGGATAAATAACATTTGAAAAAAAACTCTCTCTCTCTGCTGTTTATTAAATTCACTTGTGTTAGAATTACTAAAATAATTATCTGCCTCAGGCTCAGTGAATATCAGGAAATGTTTACCTCACCTGTCCAAAAACTCGCATCTTGGTAAATATTCCCCTATTTTCTCTGAGCCTGAGGTAAATAATTGTTAAATATATATTAGAACAGACTTGTATAAGCGCTATATAAGCCATATATATTATTATTATTATTATGTTCGTTATACACACTCTCATATATTATGCTTGTCTTGTTTTATACACAACAGCCTAGCAGATATATATTCATATTCAAGCATCATGAGGTTAGTTATCTTGGACCATGCAAATGATGTAAGTGAATGGGCTGCCAAATTTGTCAGAAACAGAATCCTACAGAAAAAGCCTGGACCAGATAACTATTTTGTTCTTGGCCTTCCAACAGGTATATGTGAACAGCCTACCCCTTGCCTCCCATGGAGGAATATATATATGTCAGTCAATCTTTGCGCGAGATACCCAGATGCATACATGTATTTATATGTTTTTGATATTCATAATCCTTGGTCATTGGTCATTGGTAACCCAAAAAATAAAAATAATATACTGTTGGTCTTAGTATTTTGCTGCTTATTTCCCATTGATCTTATGGGGAAAATCCAAGATAGTAACCAGTACGTGAAGTGAGTACCTTGCTAGGAACTCTGGGAAGCAAAGGGTAATCAATTATTAATGATTGTATTATACAACTTTTTATATACTAAAAGTAAAGCAGTGATCCAGCTCAATGGTAGTGCATCAACTGCAAGCATGTAAACAAGCTAGGTTCCTTTTGCAACTTCTTTACATACCATACAGGTGTTACATTATTACTAAGTATCAGACTTGAAAGAGTAACCACAAGAAAGAGGGAGATCATAAAAAAAGATAGCACTTTGGGGGGGGGGGGGGTTTCAGGTAATTTTTATGATGTTGCAACAAAAATCCTTGAACCTTAGCTCACTTAGACAATAAATATTCACCAGTCCCTTAATTTGAATTTATTTATATTGAGTCAAAAAGAGAAAGTGCAGTCTAAATCCTAAGAATCTAAGAAAGAGAACCATGCAACTCATGCAAATCAACCAGCATTGTGTCTGTAATTATAAATACTACATATTGATTACTTTTATTGACATGAAGACAAGGAAGTAAAACCTATTTCTCTCTCATTCAATATTATAGGTGGTACTCCAAAGGGCATGTACAAGAAACTTGTTGAATTTTACAAGAAGGGTGAGGTGTCATTTAAATATGTGAAAACGTTCAACATGGATGAATATGTTGGATTGCCTAGAGATCATCCAGAGAGTTATCACTCCTACATGTGGGAAAACCTCTTCAAACATATTGATATTGATCCAGAAAACGTTAATATCTTGGATGGAAATGCCAAGGACCTCGTTAAAGAGTGTAACGATTATGAAGCAAAGATTAAGGCAGCTGGGGGAGTTGACCTGTTCGTTGGTGGTAAGTAGAATCAATTCATAACTTTATCACAGGGCTGAGAGAAGGAACATTGACCAGTGTTTGCATATAAGACCTTCTGCACATATTAGACCATTTTTTTAGCCCTGGCCCCACTGAGCTGAGGTCAGTAAGTCCCCTGGTCAGTACATTAGGCTCTCGATAAGTATAGTTACCCCCACCCCCAAATCAGTACAATAATTCCCCTCTCAATAGCACTACAATTAGCACCTCCAATCAGTACAGTTTTACTGGTTAACCTCCCATTCAGTGTAGTTAAGCACCAATGGAAACCCTAATCCACAGTCGCATTTAAAAAAATGTTTGTTATTGTGTGGGTAGGGATTGGACCAGATGGCCACATTGCATTCAATGAACCAGGCTCTTCCATGAAGTCCAGAACTCGTGTCAAAAGTCTTGCTAAAGAAACTATAGTAGCTAATGCACGTTTCTTTGGCGATGACATCAGTAAAGTTCCAACTATGGCCCTTACGGTTGGTGTTCAGACAGTAATGGATGCTAATGAGGTACAGTATGTCTTATTATTTCTCAATTGGCACGGTTTTCTTTGTTATTCACATAGCTTTATTTTTGTTATAGCCCTCATTATAAATGGGAGGTCAATATATAGTTATTAACCCGGTTAATAACTATATATAGACCGTTCGCATTTATAATGAGCAACATTTGATAGAAAGTCTTCTCAATTGATAAATAAAATACTTAATTACCTCTAATGTCGGCAATAAGCCCATACATCCCTCGGGCTACCTATATCGTATATAGGCTTATTGCCGACGTTCGAGGTAATTAACTCTAACTTTCATGAGAGTGTGAAGCATATTATCTTATATATTCCTTTTGGTGCAGTTGCATATGCTGAGCCAAACAATAAAGACCAAGGGCCACATTATCAAAATGCGACTTTACCTTTTCATGTCCATTCTATTTCTCTTTCTTTAGGTGATGATTCTAATCACAGGGGTTAACAAAGCTTATGCACTCCATAGCAGCATAGAAGGAGGTGTCAATCATATGTTCACTGTCTCAGCATTCCAGCTTCATCCCCATACCATTTTCGTGTGCGATGAAGATGCCACTATGGAGCTTAAAGTCAGGACCGTGAAGTATTTCAAGGGTCTTATGGATGTACATAACAAATTAGTTGAATTTCCAGAAGATCCCACTGCACCTCCATCTGCAAAACGTTTGAAATCACTGGACGAATCGAAATTGACCTGAAAATGCAGTTTAAAATGACTGTGCTGAAGGGAACTAAGCTGAAAAAGTATAGATTCTTGATTATCTTTTCACATGTATCAAAACGAAATGCAAAAAGTCCTCTTTTAGTGTGGAGAGATGCAAGAAACAGGTGTGCTATATCTACGAAACATCTTTATTATATCTTTATTTGTTGTTGTTTTTTCTTAGTTTATTCCTCTGCAATACCAAGAAATAGATTCAATCTTATATAAGTAAAAAATATTAATTGTCAAATAATAAAATTATTTTTAACGAATATAAATCGCTTTTTTTTTTTTTTTTTTGCCTTTTTTAAAAATCTCTTAAAAGATACTTTTGGTCTGTGCTTACACAGAGATTACACAGATACTATCATAGTTTTGGTTTTAAAAAATGATGCAGCAGTTAAACATCGTAAGCAATCCGGCCCAAACTCAAATATCGATGAAAACCGTGTCTAGGAGTCGTGTTTGATGTTCGAGATTTTTAGTGCTTCGCCTAAGAACATTTGACTAAAATCCATATTGCACTGTAGTATTGGTATACTGTATCTACTTTAATGATGTTTTGTTCCAAACTTTTTTTTTTAAGTGTTTGTGTTGTCTTGTGGGTCACGCATGGGAATAGCATAGGTGTAGCAAGTGTATAAACAGAATTTCTTCATTCACTCCTCGTTTCTAAAACTATCATTTTACCATTAGTACTTGTTTGGAAATTTCGCGGCTTGTACACTCTGAGTTGCATAAAAGGAATGCTTCCTGGAGTAGCATTATTTCTCGTATTATAGCTTGTTACAGTGCAAAAATATCCTTTCCCATCTTAATTCAACAGCACACAATGCAACTGATTACTGTATATTGATTTGACATCACTTTATTCATCAAGGTTTTGAATACACTGTTACAGCATCAAATGAAAATGCAAAAGAACTATTTTAACTAAAACGAAGACAAAAAGATTTACAGTATAAGGCARAAATAGGAAAAAGAATTTGTTCAACAAAAAGAAACTAATGAACGTAAAGAATGTTCAGGTGAGACATTCAATTTTCAGATCACTTTTTATCTTTTCAAAGCAATTATTGTGAAATACAGAGGATTTCGCATAAGTGGGAAGTCATGATAAGCCAACTTCGTGGCTGTACCGTAACTGCGCGCGCGTCGTGATTGGATGAATCACACGAAACGTTTCCCACTCATATGAAAACCGCAAAGACGGACATCATTCAGCTATTCAATACGTTATTACATGTTCTTCAATTTCTTTTTAGTGATATGGCCTGATAAGCTTTCTTAGTTTTCCCCACGGACTTCCAGTTTGTCCAAAGCGGCTTCCCATTCCTCTGTTTCCCCACTGTCTTCCAGTTTGTCCAAAGCTACCCATTCCTCTGTTTCCCCACTGTCTTCCAGTTTGTCCAAAGCTACCCATTCCTCTGTTTCCCCACTGTCTTCCATTTTGTCCAAAGCTACCCATTCCTCTGTTTCCCCACTGCCTTCCAGTTTGTCCAAAGCGGCTTCCCATTTCTTTGTTTCGCTGGCCGCCAAAGTTTTGATAGTACGGGTTTTTGATTCTGGTTATTGACATGACCGTCTATAAAAAAAATGATTTACCTAATGATTAAATTACCTTAACAGGGACCGGGATCCAGGAATCTGAGAAATACTTAGCCGGACAAATTTCGCGGTAGACGATCGAATTTCAACTCTGACTATGCAAAAAGAAACCAGAGTAGGAGTATGCTCCTCAAATAAAGGCTCCTCAAGCCTAAAATATGGTCTCGAAAAAAATGCTTTTTCCTGTGTTCCGGGTATGTTTTGGACAAAAAGGGTAAAAAAGAATCCCAAAACTGAAAGGAAGCCTTATAAATCCGCCCATATGTTATGACTACAGCTTTTGCGGAACATAACAATTTTTTTCATTAATCCTGGTCGTTTTGTTGCCGTCCTTCAGCCTACACTAAAGCTGCGCCAAGAAAWACAAACAGGAAAGCAGTTTCATGATTATTACAATAAGGAAAAGCGCCCTTAAAAGGAGTTTTCAACTTACCATCTTGTTCTTGTAACCATAGGGACGTCTATGGTGAGACTTGAAGCACATCTTCATTCGCCAAAAGCACCTCAACTTCAATGGACAGCTGGATGCATTTTCAGTGCATCCTTTAAATTCTTTTTTACACTTGGCCTGTAAAGTTTCAACAAAAAAAAAAAAATTCAGACTCCAAACGATAATTAGCTTTTCCAAGGTTTAGTAGAAGACTGGGGCGAGTTGGGTTTGCAGTGCATTGTGAGGATGTTTTGGGGGACGAAATAGACGCCATATTGGATTTATGTCCTCTAAACAGTACCACAATGCACTGCAATGCCAACTCCGCCCAGTCTTTTCCTCAACCTTGCAATGGTTAATAGATCTATTACCATTAGTAGGCTTTCGTATTTGGATGTGATAATAATCTTCAATAATTCTTATGAAGGCTATCACAAGAATAGCTGAAACATCTTGCCTTATATAATTTGTGCGTTCAAGCCGAAATACTTACTATTACCATCATCGGAAACTTTCGCGCCAAAACGCGAGCGTTAGTATAATTTCTCTTTGTCAATGAATTTGATCCTGCGTTTCGCGCAATGCATCTATGGATTGCCAGGGGGCAAACAAAGCAAGTCGTCACAAGAGATGTATAGGAACATATTTTCCACTAAAAGCCGTGATTTGGTGGTGATTAATATTGCACTTTATTTCTCTAATCTTATCGGATATGAAGTCGAGGAATGTGTATTCATCGAATACGTAAGTTTTTTGTTTCAATAGTGTGATATTACAGTCGGAAAACTCGATTTTCTTGCGTAACAATGGAGTGAGGCAAGCGGTCTTGTAACACATGCCAGCTATTACAAATTATTAAATATCATTAAGTTTTCAAATATAAGTAATATTGAAAAACGAACCACGAGTTTTGGGTTCCATCGGGAATTTTCGTTCATGTTCTCTTCATCTTCATCAGGGTGCATTGTTGGAGGTGGACCGGTAGGATGAGAACGATTCATGCAGTCATGGAAGTCGTACATGCATTGAAGTCTTTCGCTGCAGTTGCTGGCTTTCCTGAAACACCCTATCCATTGCATCTTGCACTTAAACTACAAGGAGAAGACAAATAAGTAAATGTCGGCACAAAATATGGCAGTCCCCCTCCCCCTTTCCAAAAAATTTTTTAAAATTAAGTGTCATAGAATCATGGATTTAAGCAAAAAAAAGAAATGTGAGAATGGTTCCTGTTTTATCACAGAGATAATGTACTTGAAGATAATGAATATTTACCATTTCTGGATTCATGGTTAGAAATCGATGATGGTGATGTGGACAGTGATGATGGCGATGTTTGCCGTGATGTCGCGAGGGTTTTCGGTGTCCATGTTTTCGTTTACGGTAGCAAAAGCCTTTCTTTCTGTAGCACATGTATTTCTTAAAGCAATCGTTTCCTGCACGTTCCATGCACTCATTGAACATAGTTTTACAAATCTGCAAAATCAAACAACTTTTGTATTAGCAATATATCAAATTGATCAATTACAATAAGTGCTTCATGGATATAAACCGTCTGAAATTAATACCATTTTTGGTGGTGGTCTTGTCATGGAAGGATTCTGCTTTTTTTTCTCAGCTTGAATACATGTGGTCTTCTCTTCGTAGCAGGCGAGATATTCTCCACATTCAGTAGCATTCACGAAGCACGTTTTTGCCTTCAGCATACACTGTTGGAAAAGAAAAAGATTATCAGAAAAAATTCAATTAAATTGCAAGTTGAAATCCAAAATGCTCATAAGCAATACGAGTCAAAAACAAAATTAACACCACCAATGGTGAGGTCAACGACTCGGACTTAAATCAATGGCTATTAAAAGGTCGATGACGTGTTTTGATTGTTAAAGCCTTCAAGTCAGCTGACGACGAACAGAGCTGCCGGGGCGATCGTTGCATGGCACGAAAAATTTCTCAGCTTTTCTTTCTTTGTCTCGCACCCAAAAGTCAAGTTATCCAAGCCTGATTCAATCTCTAGGCTCAAACCAAGTCGCAGGGCTCGAAAATCTCACATATTGAATTGGAATGTATACCCTGCTGGGTTTGAGTGGGTTTGAGTGGACGGAAAACGTTTTATTATATTTTTTCAATACATAAATAGCTGTTTCTAAAAATGGGCTACTAATACGATAACAAAATAAAGATATTTTGGCTTTTCGAAGTAGATTTTTCCATGTTTGAATGATTCAAGTGGGAAAAAGTTGAAAAAAGAAAACAAGCAGTTATCTTTTTAATGTCTTTCGAAGATAGAACACCTGACTGAGCAATTCGTAAATGCTGAATTTGACAGAACAGACAGAACAGGTCAGTTCATCTGGCGAATTTATACACGGTAATAGCTCTTACCGCGACGTTTAAATTTGGATTCACTGTATTTGTTTTGATCAACAGATATTTGGTAAGAGATTGAAAACAGTCGCGGACTTCAAGGATATTGGGGATAGTGCGGGAAACTACCGTCAGAAATAAAGATACGCGAATAAAACCTTTTCCATTTACAAAAAGGATTGTACCTCATAACCGGGCCAGCGCCTATTTGTAGGCCAGTAGCCGCTCGTAGGACGGGTTTCGTCTTCGTCTTCGTCTTCGTCTTCGTATTCGTCCTCGTCCTCGTCCTCGTAATTTTCACCATTATTTTTATCATCATCGTCGTCGTTGTCCTCGGCAGATCCTTCTAGAGGTTCAACAGATATCTGAGAGTCAGCAACTTCAAACTCATCGAAACCTCCATTAATTTTGTTGATGTCTTCTGGCTGAGCACGCCGGACGAGAGCCACCAAGAAGATAAGTACAATAAAGAGCAACAACTTCATTGTTATTCGCAGAAACCACCTCAAACTGAACTAGCAAGCGATCCAACTCTCTATTTATTTATTTATTCTCGATGAAATACGATATTTGAGTGATGATTGATGTGGCAAGCCAAGGACCGTGTCCGGATATATATTAATCCGCCTAAGACAAAAATGCAAGCTGCGCTAATTTATTACTATGGCCAGTACTTGCAATTTGGTATCATTCCAATGCAAACGCTGAAGGTGAAATTATTTTGTTTTTTTATACTTTCCATGCAATTTTCCTTCTATTGAAAAGTTTTAAAAGTAATAATACTTGATAATAATTTGATCTATCGCGACTTTGGCTACCAGTGATGTGATGATAACCTCCTAGAAAGAAGAACAATAGTAATCTATCCTATTTACCTTGAGCTATGAACTAGCAAGTCTCTCTGAACTTGACTATAGAACCATCAAACGAGGCCTAATAATACATGAATAAATTACGTGAATTAAAAGCAAAAGCAAGAAAGACGCACAGTTTTATGAATTAAAAATGTTTGTCTCCTCAAGTATCGGGAAAAACTGCGATGTCGTCACAAAAAGTTGGATACATCAACAAGTCGGACACTCGGGAGGTAAAAGGAGACTGTTCGTGGGGTAAACTTGGCAGTGACCCAGCCCAACCTATGGTAATGCTGAGTCATTTTTTCTTTGCATGGTTGCTATTAATAGGCATCATCATTTCCGTTCTCATGTGGTTTTTATTACCATTGAGCAAACTCTCAAGTTTTGTTTTGATTGTGATTGGGACAAAAACAAACTTGTTGGACTGGTTTCGTTATCTCTTCCTTTTGACCCACGTTCATGTCACTAGCTGGAAAGGGGTTTTCGTATAAAATGATCCCCCCCTTTTTTTAATTTTCGTGATCTGTGGTGAGGGAAAATTAATTATTTTCCATGATTCGTGATTCTAAAATTCTAGAATCGTGGACGCTAATGTATATTACTTTCCGTGAATCGTGATCGTCCTTGTTGTTTACTAGTCTATGAGGACATCCTCCTTACAGTGTCCTCAGTACCGTTAATCCTTGGCTTTCACTTTTGTAACGTCATCAAAATAAGAAAAGCCTTAGCAACTTTTTTGTATTATCGATGTTTGGTTTTCGATTCCGGAAAGCATTTAATAGATATAGGGAAATTCGATTGAAATAATATTCAAATTAGTAGGCGACTGATAAATTCATTTTGATGATTATTGTTATTGAGAAACTAAAGTGATTGCAATACAAACATGATTTTCAACTYTCGTGAATTGGCCGCCAACAGTTTGTGCCCCTCAATGAGACACCAAGATGGCGGTCCCGTAGGTTTCAACTAAATTATGAGTATAATTATACAACTTCTCATTAATCCCATATAGGTAACTGTCCAATTATTTTCTTAATCATATCCTTTTTGTAATCACTACCAAATCCTGCAATCTGATTGGTTCAAAGGAGTGCGATTAATTCCCAAATCGCATCCTTAGGAGCTATTAATCGCATCCTCAAAATAATTTTTGTTAAACAATAAAATAAAATAAAATAAAACAAAAAAATCAACAAAAAAAATTTTTTTAGATGTTTTTTTTTTGTTCGCATTTAGTTCTTCTACTACATTAAATTGATTATTCTGCACTCTTTATTATGTCTTTTTCTTGTGTATGATTACAAAAAGGATATGATTAAGTGGTAATTGAACTTCGTGTCGTGCAATTTTGGTCTGAAATCAAACTTGCAATTACAAATCGCACTCCCGCTACGCGGTCGTGCGATTTTGTAATCGCTCGTTTGATTTCAGACCAAATTGCACTACACTCAGTTCAATTACCATCATTAATTGGACAGGTCTTGTTGATATGGGATTAATTAGGCAGCTATATAATTAATAGGTAATGGGATTTTATGCTCCCCAATCAAGAAATAATTAGACTAGAAAAATTCCTCTGACTGCCAAATTGGACTCGGCCTACGGCCTCATCCAATTTTGGAAGTCCTCGGAATTTTCCTTGTCCAATTATTTCTTAATTGGACAGCATGGAGTCATATTACATATACTAATCCATCGCTCGTATCTTCGTGTCTAACTTCTTTTTACTAGAACTTTGGCTTAGACGTAAAGTTTTGGCTACTTTTTCGCCAAATAAACAAAAATAAATTGTAAACAAACAAACAAACAGTTTGTTCCGATATTTGTGGAGACAAACCGAGGCAAATTAAATTCATAAAACGGTTTATATATATATATATATATGTTTTTGTTATTATTGTTCTTTTGTTTGTTTGTTTTTTGTTTTGTTTGGGAATTTGTTTGGCTCGTATCTATTCATTTTTGGTTAAGGCCTAACTTGGCAGTGACCCAGTCCAACCCATGGTCATGCTGAGTCATTGTTTTTATATTGTTGCTATCGATAGATGATCAAGGATTCGATTTCAGGACGACTCTCAAGAGCACACGTACCTTGCGAGCAGAGTCTCCTTTTAGAGGAGTTAGCTAGTGTAAACAAGATTACCTTTTAAAACCTGCTAAAAACCTAAACATTTTGCAAGGAATGGTATTATCTTTATTTGACTACTGGTTACAGCCATTATATCTGTCATATTCAGAGGCCGTTATTTGTCATATTTTGAGGTCACAGTGTAGCACGAAAACGACAATTTCCTTCCTTAATTCCTTCCTCTGTTGTTAAGAAAAGGTCGTACTGGCATCCTCAGTCTGTAAAAATCTCTTTGGATGTAAAGCTTTCACTAGGCACGATATTGGTATTTTTCTGTTTAGCCTCMTTAATTCTTATGATAATCTCTAACAAATCAAAAAATTATTACTTTTTTATAGAAAATTTGAATTCGTGTCAGTTTTCCAGTTAATTTTAAGAGTACGATAACATAGTATCCAAAGCTAGCGTGGGCGATGATGATCAAATCATCAGTCATGTGCGTGTCATGGTTCGACAATGTAAAGCATATTTGCAGTCGTGTGGTTGTGGTATACTCTCAAGCCACTGAATATTAATTATAGCAGCATAAATAATAGATAACTCAACGAATATCTTCTATAATATTGACCAATATTTTCGTGTTCGATTCTGATACACCTATAATTGCAGGAACGTTGTCATATWAAAAAAAACAAATAAAAAATAGAAATTGTTTTGAAGGTATAGACTGGCATTTTTGATATAGTACATTGTTGATATAAAATTACTACCAATCAACTACAGCAAAATATACGCCACATATTATCAAAAACGTCAGTATTTGTCACATCTTGGTATGATATATAAAGTTTGATGATGATACTGCCCTGCGAGGGATAGCACATCAAAGAATCCATTCTTGCTACGATGGAATGTATACCTTTCCTTAGTTGGGCCAATACTGACTAGTGGGCACTTTTATTGTTAAGCCCGAATGAAAACTTTTCTGGGTTTATGTTTTATTTTTGAATGAGCACTCGTTCAATAAAAATAATAAATGACAGTTTGACAGAAACCAAAACTGCTAAGCATTCAGTTATATATACCCCGACTTCCACAGCAAAAATATTTCTTCAAGCGTCTTCTAAGACAAAAACGTGAAAAGGAAATTCATACAAAATAATAAAATAACAAATAGGAATTATTTAGAAAAATATTTTTTTAAATTTAAAGCCCCCTTGTTATCAAAAAATAGCTGTATTATTATATTTGATAGTGATAGTGATATATATAGTGCTTATACTATCTATCTTTTGCAATAACCTCTCTGAATGACTGGTTCAGCATACATTACACCGACAACATGTAATGAGGTGAAGTGCTGTCTATCAGTTTGTTTCGACAATCATTGCGAGAGTATAGAATAAGCTATGATATTTTAAACGACCAATTAAATATTTAGTTCTGGGAGGATGATATTTGAACTTAATTGCCTGTATTTGTGAAGGATTTTTGATGAAATTTTAATTCATATTCCCGTTTCGTATCATGTGTCCAGCACTTCCAGTTTTGATGACAAAAATAGACTTCTCTTTTCCTTGCCGGACTTTTTTTTTAAAGCTTTTCTTTTACTGAGATAAAAATCTCCAGCAATAACAGCAGTTCTAAATCGAATTCACTGATTTGCACTGAACTCCGCAGAGCATCCCATTTCTTTCCATTACATATAACACGTTTAGGGTTCTGATCTTTAGTCACCAGTTATACTATAGTAGTACTAGCTTTCTCACTATAGCTAGCCATGTGCAAAGAACTAACTTCCACTAATCACACATAAAAATGAAATCTCGCGATCGCGCGTTGGTTTTGTGTTTGCAAGAGAAAATGAACTAGCCCATCTCTCAGACTTTCGGGCGGCTTTACGCCTCTATTAAACGATATAAGGAAAAAAAGTCGTTTTAAGAAGAAAATTAGAAAATCCCATCGTCAAGGAGAGAAAAGCCAAACAGAAAAAAAGATTGAGAAATAAAAAATGAATAAAGGAAATTGTCTCCTATATTTTTTATGCTTTTTCGTTCTTTTTGTAGTTTTTACTTTCCATTACTCGATGTGCGTGCATGTAGATATGTCCTTCAAGTGAACCTGCCTTGACAAATGCATGAGGACTTTTCATTGGATTATGAGGTGAAGTTTGTCAAGTGAGAAGAAAAAATTCAATTCTTGTCTAAAGCAACTATTGGTGGACCATTAACCTATAAATGAGGGTTTGTGGTTTCTGGTCGGATTCTCAGTCCTTCAAATATGAAAATGCTGTCAGACCTCACGGTCTGGACTAAACTCGATCAAGATAAATGAATAGATAAAAACAACGGATAAAGGACAGCACACGTTTACTTTTAAACACACCGAAGTCTTCTCGTCCTTGATTCCCATCTAAATATTGTTCTGAATGACAAGAAAGTCAAGAAAAACTAATGTGTCATATTGGATGGATATGAAGAATCCGGTTGCTTGTCTTTGAAGACACAAGGTAGGTGCTTGAGGAAATGCGTCTAGTGTCTACTTTTGGGATTCGGGATATTGCGTGGATAAGGAGTTCTTGTTCTCGCTTTATAGCC